GCAAGTTATTGGAGAAAACAGAAATGACGTAATGTGGAGGGACTAAAACTTTCAAGCTCTTGTTTGAGAGCGTATTTTCGAATCAATTCCCAAAACTTTTGTGAAAATGAACGATGGGAATGTAGGGAACAGACAGCTCTCATAACAGGGACTAATTATTAATACCTTCGACAGTTATTCGATGTGGCAAAAAAAGCAGCATGGTTACTTAGGAAAAGAATGATTGACAGTTTTATCAGGTCCTAATCGGCGATGACGACGTCACTCTTTACCCTTCCCTTGTGATCCATTAAACTCTGCTTTGTAACTTGGCATCCTTTCCTGTTCTTCATATTTTAAACTGACGAACAAGAAAAGAAAAGAAACAGAGAACTTTAAATCTTTTCGCGTGAAAATATGCAAAGGAACTAACTGTTTCAAAATAACACATAACAATCTCACATCGATAAAATATTCTGCGGTAGCAGAATCAGATATGGCTCACTAAATAAATGTCCAAATACGATCGATGCCGAAGTGAGATTTCTTCTTGTACTGTTGCACCATTTATGTCTTCATCAATAACAAAGCAGCGTAACAAAGGAGGAGAGAAATATTGGAGGGAGGAATGTGTGTGCACAAATAGTGTAGTGCATCCATCCCCAATGCGTCTCATATTTCCCGCATGGGTAAAAAGCCCCAAATATCTTCTTCATCGTAACTTCTCTCCACAGTAGGGACAGGGGTATCCGTTGTGTCATCCATTCAGGCACAAATACCACTAGTATGGTATAATATAACCTTTTCATCCATATATGATTTCAATCTTGGTTCACAAAGCAATTATGCACTAGAATAACTATCGATAGTTTAATCGAAAAGTGATGTAAATGGGGTGGTTGTATCTTAAAGACGTTCTCATTATAGCAAGTATTCGTCATGCATTCGCTCTGTTACAGTGCAAGTAGTACTAATGATAAGTCAGTTCCTTTTAAACGAAATCAATTTTATATAGCTTTGATAAAAAGAAACTATAGGAAGTAATAAAACGTTATCTAAACAAACAGTGAACAGTTCTTTATGAAGCCACCATTTGTTATCTTTTAAAGCTGAGAATGCAAAGAAATAGATAGAAAGTAACATTACTTCCTTAAAAAGAAGTAATGTTAAGCAAAGTTTAAATGATGAATAAAGCATAAAAGTGATATCAGATTACTCATCCCACATATAAAACCTTCGCATTTCGTGTTATAGCAATCAACAAAAATGAAGTAAGTTAACAGTGAGGGTCAGAAAAGTTTTGCAAGCGCAATCTAGCTCAACTGAAAAGGTATAAAAAAGTACACTGTTAATATATCATCCTTTACTTGCCTTCTGATATAATCCTTTAGTTACTTACTGGAGACAAATAGTATTGAAGCGCAATCATTGACTATTTGGAACTTTTTCAATGCTTGAAACTTTTTTCCATACGAAATATCTTTTTTTTTTCTAATAGAACCAAATGAAATAGATTTTACCAGCATGCCGATGTATTTTTTGGCATCTCCCAGGCGGTGGACCACCGGCTATTGTTGATTGCATTTCATCGGATGCTGTGCATTCAAGCCATAAACCTGTTCGGAAGCCACCTGATCGAAGCCACCATGTCGTCGACAAACACAGTATCAGAAGAATGAATGCAATCAATAGGCACACCAGAGCTATCACCTGAAATTGATCTTTTCAAAACACTGCCTATACTTCACGACATTTGTGTTGCAATTTGGCAAGTCTTTATTTATAAAATGAAGAACCTATCGGTACCATGAAAATATTATCAACGGAATCGATATTACTTCCTACCCCATCCCTCTACTTCATATTGGAAAGTGGCTATATTTTGAGTGCAGGCAATATAACATCAATTGCAGAAATGCTTGCAGAAGCAGCATATATTACATTTCTAACCGTATGATCCAGTTCCTACTGACAGGAAATGATATACGTTATCGGCCTGATTTGAAACTTGAACTGGCACACCATTCTACTGTTGATGTCTTAGACATTTCTAGTAAGACAGTCATAAAACTTTAGCTTTAATGTGGAAGTTTCTTGATTCTTTCGTGTAGAAAGTGCCTTAGACCTTGGTGAACAGTCGCTGTTGTAAGAGATTTGCATAACTGTAATTATGAAAAATTAAATGAAGATCAACCTTGAGAGGTCTCACTACAGTAACCGTTTCAATTGTAGTTGCTTGTACTGCCATACAAATTCGTCCAGTTTTTCTGCAAATAACTGTTACAAAAATATTCTCTTACTAAATGGTAACGTGAACGTGTAACGAAAATTCCACTTCTCGCACCGACTATACGCCATAACCTATGGCCTGAATGCAAACAGGAAGGAGAAAGGACTGCATCCGACTCTTCAGGAGCAGGACAATTCAAATTTATCACTAGAAGAAATATTTCAAAGATTACATTCAGCGAATGCATATCCTCGAACATTACCAAATGGGGACGTCTTGAAAGATAGAACGACGCAAGCAGAAGGAAATCGTTGCTTAAACAAAGAGTGAATCCCCAAATTATGCAATGAACTTTCAAATTCTATTTCAAAAAAGGAGCTAGGAGCTGATCTTTCCCGATGATCTTTGCCCTTTTTTGAAATAGCTTTGTCTTCTTCCATGTTCCGAAAATTCGCAGTGCAATGAATACTCTTTTATATTCAAGTAATGAAGAAAGAACAATTACGACAAGCACTTTATTAATAATTAATAAGTCGACTACTGCAATGTATAAATACATTTGAAGTACACTTTAGTAATTCTTTGAAAATTCCTCCCTTAAAAACGAAATAGTCGAATTAAAACTTCTGGATATTGCGAACAAAATCCTTGAATACTATTTTCCGGTAAATGATATTGTCATCAGAAATTTCGAGAAATTCTTTCATTCTTATTGCTCCTTTCAACATTCTGTGAAAAAAAATATACGAAAAACTGAAAAAAAAAGAAAATACATATCGAACAGCACAGTAATTAGATTGTTTTATCCATATATCATTTCCTCCCTATTTTCTATCGGTATTTCGATATGACTTATATTTAATTAACAAATGAATCGATAAAAAATAAAAGCCAATAAGCGATTGGAAAACACCATAGACTTCCAAAGAATAATGTTCAACTGTTTCATATCTAATTTCATGGTAATATATTTTCTACTCTTTATAAAGTAACAACATTTAACTCGAAATCTTATTAAGATTAAAGTGCAATTATTAGAATTTGGTTTCAGCAGTTTCCTCAATTATTGTGAAAATGATATCAATTTGGTTTAAAATCAGTGGAATTATAAGCTTCTAATTCACCGAGCTACATTATTAAAGTAAAATTTTAGAGAAAGTTGAATGGATTTCACATGATCATACGAACACGCAAGAATCGACAATGATTCGACCAAGGAATATCGAATAATGATAAATATTTCATCTCGTTAGTAAGAAGGAAGAAATGAACTTAGAACAAAAAATCAAACTTACAGCCACAGATTTCTGAAATGCATTTATCAATCGAAATTTTACTTTTACCATTAAATAATCAACTCCACAAGTACAATTTTCTCTAACTACGTTGAATCCATAACAGTAAATTGTTAATCGAATAAAGCAATTGGGCGAAAAAAAAAAACTCAGTCCCTTAACATAAATGCAACTTCTGACTTCATAGTAATAAATGGATTTGAGGAAGAGGGATTGAATGCGTGAGTAGGAAAAAAGAAAAGAGGACAGGAATCTTTGGGAAGATTATTCCATTAATATGAACTATTTGGTATGAATGCCACGAAATATAATAATGTAAAATGATTTAATCTCTTCCCAAATGAAGTTTGACCATTTTATGGAATATAAATAGCATACACAAATAACCCAGAGAGACAAATGAATAATTAATTAACTATAAACACTGGAACCTTCACGCATAACTTGCTTTAAAAAGAATAGGAACAATGTGGCAGAAAGAAACGCAAAGTGTATTTGAATGTTACCTTACCGCGGTCACGTGTATAATAAACAACTGTTCTATCAGATTTCCGACAAACCGTTAAGACCGATCACTGGAAAATTGATTAACACATGATTATCTCGGCAGTATCGGTAATCTTCAGCTATCATTTGGACTCTAAATCCTGCATGCGTTCTTTACGACAAGCTATTTGTTATTAATTAATTTACTACTATGACATTTCGAGAAAAAATGCTGTGAATTAAACGATAATTGAAATTTCCCCACATGATTCCCGAAGAAATTCAATAGTTCGAGGAAAAAGAAACGTTTATAAGTCATTGTATCTGTTTATAAAGTAGCATGATTCATCATTCCACATACCAACAATATTTTTAGACCGAGGGAAACCGGGAGGAGCAGCTCAGGACATGCTTTACACAAAGCGTTCCTTGTACTGCACTCTACTCCTCCTTTTCTCTATAACATAGAAAGTCATACATATCGATATCAACGAATGCATTATACTCATCACTCAAAGTGTCCATCTGATAAGTGAATTGAGTTATAGAAATCTAATCTGGCTGATAAAGATGAAGAAAATGAAATGTGACGCTGATAGTCTCCAAAAACTCTCTTCACATAGGCAGAATTAAGAAGTGGACCGAAAATATTCATTTCTACAATTCTTCAAAAATCTACAAATCGAAATGACTTTTTTCTTGGATTAATTCGAAGTAATTTTTTTCCTAAAGGAATAAACTTAGAAGAGAAAGGTTAGAAAAAAAAGCAAAAAGCAAAAAGCAAAAAAGGAAAAAGTTAACCTAATTCAACATAGTTGAATGACAGTCACGATATGCAGCATACTAAATGAAATGTTTAGCTGAGAGAGCAGTGAGTAATGTTCTGATGAAATGTTAGTTGTTATTAGATAAGAACACGAAACAAATGAGGACAAAAGCATATTCTGCTCAAAACTGTTCATTTTCAGATTTGTGCTCTTCAATGTTTGCTACCATTTTAAACATATATATTATGCAATCTTTTTATCTGTCAGTTCACCGATCTTAGCTGTCCATGCTATTTCTCGAGGAGTGATATTTTTCTGTCTCCGTTTCAGGACCGCGACACTTATCGATTTCTGGGTTTCACCAGTAGATTCTATTTCAATATTATACAAAAGCTGAAGACAATGAAATCTCTACTATATATACAGGCAAATTAAAAAAGACAAATTACAATACCGACAAATTAAAAAAGAGAGGTCCAGAAAAGTGTGGAATTTATCAAAGTTTTTAGTGGCATTGTTTGCTCGTTAGGTCCAGTCAAAATTTTGACCTGCGCTATTAAGGGTAGTTCTAAAGCATTAAGACATTTGGTAAACAAGGAAATTTGTAACTTTTAGTAATTTAAGGATGAAAACAAGGAAGAGAAAACAATAAAGCTGTCCGAATACATGCCATAATCAGTTCAGTAAACCGAAATATAACATTTCAAGAAGAGAAGCAATAATAAACCATTCAAGCGATACACATAGAACGGGAAATAGAATATGGAGGATGCAGATGATGCGAATCAGTGCAAAAAAACTGCAAACATTTACCTGACACATATCTAGTTTGTAATCCTCGAAACAGCTGAGTTGCTTTGCTTTGCAGAATGACTTCCACCTCTTACGAAGATTGATCGTATTCTTTGATGTGTTTGGCTCCTGAGAATATTCACAACTTTTGTTTTTAAGAAATTTGTTATTTCTCATACGATCCTTCAAATAATTAACAAATTACAGATCAACTTTCAAAGTTATCGCAAATTCACCGCGCGATCTTCTATAATTTTCTTATCACCGATAACGAAGGTATAACGGCGATATTGCAAGACGATGCTGGTGAATTATTTGGGAGGCCAAGAAATTTGAATAGTCTTTAAACGATTATTAGTGAAAGCCAGAATACTCGATATCTTACATAGATTTTTAATCAGTGCAAAGCGAACAGCGTATCAAGTATCAGAGATATACAAATATTATCCAAATATATATATATATATATATTTTTTCATATATATATATATATTTCATATATATATATTATTTTCATATATATATATATATTATT